ACTGGTAGATTAGTGACAAATTGGCTTAAAACTAATTTTTTGATCACTAAAAATCACCGTGTACCAAATTTACCAAAAATTAATTTTTTGACTGTCACGCCCCGTACCCTACGAAGCGCTAACATCCCTACCTTGGTCGATTGCAGTGCGACGTCCCAGGAAGCGTCGCCGACCCAAACCCCAAACAGAGATCATGCACAAGCGGAAGCACATATATAAATATATATATACACCCTGACAATAAAACACATGAGACCAAGGTAGTACATTAAGTAAACAGCACCTCTGAAAATATGTATACTAGTATTACCATAGGAAACTTTTTACACAAATTCATTTATACAACGGCCGAGAAAACACACAGTCAGCAGCCACTCAGTAAAAAGGGGTCAGCGTATATCACTTCGGGCTCCTCAGCTTCCTCGACCATGGCTGCAGGTCCATCCCCACAAGGGTGCACACTAGATGACTGCTGGATGAATTGCGGTATACCAAAAAGAGGCGCTTTCCTCGGCATCCTACGGCTGGGGGTCTGAAATGTTTCGGTTTACACAACCGTGAGACGAATCTCAGTGAGTTCAACCCCTAAACCTAGGCTAGGCTAGCATGCAATCTCCTGACCGGAAAATAAATAAGTGAAACCATAGTGCAACAATAATCAATTAATCCTCCGACCCTGCAGGTTAGGCAGTTCAATATATAATAATCACGGCACGTACGTGACACATATTATCACACGTACGCCAATCACATGCTCATGCACCGAGGCTCACACACTTGCATGCCAGTCCATGCATGTTCATGCATGCAAATGTCGTCGACATGTCACGTGTATTTCCCGGCCCACTGGCCCACACTGGCACACTGGCAATCGCCCAATTTATTATTTATTACGACTCGAGTCAACAACATTCACGGCCCGGTGCGTCTAGCCTGCTTCAAAGTGCATGAGGCGCGAAGCAACCGATCTCGGCCCGGTGTCTCTAGCCTCGCTTCAAAGTGCATGAGGCGCAACACTGTTTCTCCTTGCGAACCGCAGCCTGCTTCAAAGTACATGAGGATGGTCGCCTTCCAGACGTACCAGGCATCGTCCTGCTTCAAAGTGCATGAGGACGGTATCGACCCAAAGGTCATGACCCAAAGGTCCTTAGGTGATCACACAACTCATTATTATCTGAACCCAGCGTATAACGTTTCAGGGTATTTTAGGTGATCACATGCTCATGGCAGACACGCATTCTCGCACAATTTCATCACATGCCTCACTCTTGGCATACGCAATGCGTGTCCATGTTATGCAATGCAATGCACCACGAGCACCACTATAATTCAGACACCCAATGTCACAACACGTGCTTAATTGGCCCAATTAATACCGTGTGGCCTAACGTGCGATTCACAAATCAGTAAATCATTGTAAACCAAACAATGGCCAATCGCACTCCATAAAATCAGCCACACCACATACGACATAGCAAGATACGAAATCAATCACAATTAAGCACAATTGACGTACAATCGGTCAACCCGAGACATAACCGGTAATTTTCCAACGGGCTCCTAAATTGGTCATTTAATCCAATTAATCTCCCCAATTAATTCTCATTAATCCACTAAATTTCCCAATGATAATTTCTACCAATCCGTTCTCAACCCAGTCTGAAATACCCACTGATACTATCCAAGCCAGTCCAAATTGTACCGATAATAACTAAACCAGTCCAGAAAAATGCACTAACAGTCCTAATTACTCACTTAATTCAAGATCACGACGACGAGGAACGGCGGCCGATCACTGATGAACAGTGAAACCGGCGGCGGAAATCCCGGCGCGTACTGTTCACGCTGCACTGTTCACGGAGTACTGTTCACAGGGTGTACTGTTCACAGCGACTGTTCACCGCGGTAAGGACTTGTACGGACGGGCGGAAAACGGTGGCCGGCGAAATGCCGGTGACAGCGCGACGGCCGTACGGTCGAGATGAACAGTGATCCGTACGGGGACGCGATGAACAGTGCCGTATGGACACCGTACGGGCAGGGGCTGGATGGCGACGCACGGCGAGGCTGGACGGCTGGGTGGTGACGGAACAACGATCGGATCTCTGGCGAAGCTCCGGCGGTCCTATTTGCAGAACGGGAAAGAGAGAGAAAGAGGGAAAAAGAGAGAGAAAGAGAGAGAGAAAAGGGCTGGACAGGGGCGAGGCTGAAGCTGGGGGACTATGTGGTCGACGGCGGGGCACGGCGGTCGGCGGCGGCACTCCGGTGGCCGGCGGCAAACTCCGGCGAAGCCAAAACCAAGAGAGAAAATGGAGAAAAAGAGAGGAAAATGGAAGAGAAGCTGCTGGTGGGGGCTGGTTCTGCCGTGAGGGAGGGCTGAGGAGAGAGAAAACAGTCCAACTTGGTCAAATAAAGCAGCCCAAAGTGCCACGTGTCGCCGATCCGTGAAAAATGACCAAAACGCCCCTAATCTAACGGTTCTAAAGAGATAGGCTTAAATAATTGAGGGGCAATTGGGTCTTTGGTGCCAATAATGTAGCTGATAACCACAGTTACTTATCCCAAAAATTTCCCAAAAATTCGGACCCGAAAACGGCCCAGGGGCAAAACCGTCATTTTTTCGGTCCCGGGGCGAAATTCCAATTTTCGCACATACGTGTTCCATATGTGCGTGGCCAACATAATATGGCGTCGGATTCGCGAAATTCACTTTCTAAGCCCTCGAAAATTGACTGCGAAGTTTCGGGAATAAAATAATATTATTTTTCCAATTTTTGTCGAAATTCCAATTTTTGACCAAAACCACTCTAAATGTGCGTGGTCACCCCAAAATGATCTTGGCCGCGAAAAATAACCTCAAACGGCCTCCGAATCCAGCCTCGGTGCCCACAAGGGCAAAACCGTAATTTTTCACCCCCGGACCGAAATTCCACTTTTTACTCGTACTAACTCCGAACGTGTGTGGCCAGCGTAATATGACGTCAGATTCCCAAAAATAGTCTCTTAAGCCTTCGAAAATCGACATCGAAATCCGGGCCCAATTTCGTGATCAAAACTCGCTCGAGTTTCAATTTCGTGGTCTCTGGCTAACGGGCGGTCATTTAGGACATACGCGTATCGACCTAGGGTTATTCGAATTACGACGGTCCCGATCATTGAGAGAATGAGAAATTATCATTAGTTCCAAAGATCACGATCGTTAGGTTCGGGTTCGGGATCGGTTGGCCACGTGCACTTTCGGTCTTGCGTAATCACCGCGATCCGATTGTACATCGTTGGCCTTGGCCAAACCAAATCCATCACCTTTCCTAAGATCGGCCCACGTTGGCCCAAAATATTCACTCATCGTATCTCGAGATCGGTGTCCCGTTCACTGTCGAGTCTCTGGTCCACGTACCGTTTCCTAGTTAGCCATACCCCATTGGTTAGTAGCCTGAGAGTGATCAGCTCTGGGCGAGACTTACTAAAATGAAATGCGAAATATTGTCAAGTTTATTGATCCCGGAATTACGTCGAAATTCGGGCTGTTACAATTTTGACCCCTCAAAACTCCAAAATGGTACGTTTGTAGCAAATTTGCTCTTTGTTGGTTTCAGTTAAATTAGGTTAATATCACGAAAAATCACAAACTGATACACCTGTAAAACCCCAAACTGGGACACTCGTTATCTACCACATGTCATCCAACTCAGTAATTTAACAATAAAATTTAACGGAAATTAACAAAGGGTAAATTTGTTATAGATATATCAGTTTGAGGTTTTTGGTGGTCAAAAAATTAGTTTGTGATAAATTCGTCACATGTGTACTACTTTGGGGTTTTTGTGATATTAACCCTTGATGGAAATGTTGAACTAGTTGTGCCATGGATATAATAACTTACTCTTTAAGAGTTAATATCATCATTTTACGTAATATTTAATCACCTGAAAAGAAGAGATAATAAACTGAAACCTTATTGTTACACGAACACCTCTAATACTCATATTAGCATAACTATTTTATTTAGTAGATAACCCGAGACTCGAGGATGTAACGGTGATTACATAATTTATAGTACAATTTCACATAGGCTAACTTGTCTAAAAGTTGTGGGGCAAAGAATTTTTGAGAAGTATAAGAGCCCGTTTGGCAAATTGCCAAACAGTGAAAATTTCTATTCTTTTGTTCCAAGAATCAGTTTTAGAACAGAAATCCGTTTGGTAAACTTTTTGTTCCTTGGTACAAATTTGTAAAAAATCGTTCCCAAAATCAGTTTTGGAACAGAATCAAGAAGTAAAAAAAAAGTAGCTTCTTGATTCTGAAAACAAAAATCAGAATTGGAAAAGAAATTATTTTTCTTCCTTCTTCTTTCCTGTTCTTTATTGTTCTTCTTAAGTTCTTCTTGCCTGGCCGTCCACCGACCATCAGCGACCGGCAACTAGCAACACAAGCGAGGGGGGCGGCAAAAATCCAGCCCTCGCCAGATCCGGTGAGGGCAACCCTTGCCCAGGGCGCGAGCCTTGAGGGTGGCCCTCGCTGGCTCGGGCGAGGACTAGAAAAGGCCGATGATGGCGACCTTGGCCTGTGGCATGGTCGGCGACCAAGCCATGGCCAAGAAGGAGGAGAAGAAAAAAAGAAAAGAAAAAAAGAAAAAAGAAAGAAAGAAATATTAAAATATTATTAATAAAAAGAAATTTTGCGCCGTTACCAAATATATTTATGTTCTTTTTCTATTCCAAAAATAAAAATTTTAGGCCGTTACCAAACGCCTTCAAATGCTCAGAATCATTTCCCGAGTATAGAATAAAAAAGAATCATTTCTAAATAGAATCAATTTCTGGGCACAGATTCATTGCCATGCACAATCATTAATAAGCCTTACCTATTAAACAAGTGGATTTTATATATTATATATAAGTTGAAACTTGATAAGGGCATGCACTTATCAAACTCCTAGCAGCCTCGGTGATAAGGGCATGCGCTTCCCACGAGAAGTGATCTGTTCCTCGAAGTGTCCGAACTACTGAACCAAGTTGTCCGACTCTCCCTCGGTGCGTTTCTCTCGCTCAAGAACCTCAGGGTTCCGACCAACGGCGGAGCCTCCGTCTCCGTGGCTGTTCCGGCCGACGCAGCCGACGGCCCCGGCCGACGCAGCCGACGGTCCCGGCCGTCGAGCCGTCTGCGAAGGAAGCGCCGGTGTCGAATTCGAGGGCTCCCTCGCTCGGTTTCTTTCCAGATCTGAGGCGAGCCATCCTCGTCGGCCCGTGATTTTCCTCTTGGTTCTTAGCGCCCACCGGAGCAAAAACACCGGTGATCGGCCATGGCCGGAGCTGACAAGCCGCCGTGAGTCGGGTGCTTTCTCGCGGAAGATGGAAGCCGTTCCTTTCTTTTTTGAATCGATCATCTTGCTCCTTCTGTCAGCACGCTCATCGACCAACTCTGGTCTCGTAATCGGCCATCATTCGCCCTTACTTGCCGATATGTGCCGATATTCACACCAAAAGTCATCGGCAAACACATTCTGTGTCGATGGGTTAGCTCATTTTCGGTATAAATACATGCCCATTTGAAAAAGATTCAATTTTTATCTGCCCTTCTGTCCATATCCATCCTGCCCACTTAAACCACAGAGCTTCGTCTTCAACTTTGGTCGTTCTTAATGGCATCCGACTCTTCCGACTTCACAGCTGCAACCTACGTCGCCCGCTTCGACCAGCTACGGAGCGGAGAATGTGGTGACAACTGTTGCCTTGACATCCAGAACGACATCGACGGGGATGGCTCTCGGCTTGTCTCGGGGCCTTGCTTCAAACGATCCTCGCCGATCCCACCGGTCTTTGACCGTTGTTTTCCTCGCTCGCGCGAAGAGCTCCTTCCTTTCCAACTTCCCACCGTTCGGGATGTCTGGACCGCCGAGTCGCAGCGATTCAGGGGATTTCCCTCCTTCGACCCCGAGTTCTACCGATGGTACCGGAGAATGACGGCTCAAGATCGAATAATCTCTCTCTGGAAGAAGGCCGGCATCGAAAGGGCGCTTCAGTTTAGTTGCTTCGACTGGAATCTGAACTTGGGCCTTTTGGGTTCCGTAGTCTGCTTGTGGTCTCCGTCAACCAACTGTTTCTTCTTTCCCTGGGGACCGATGTCGATCACCCTTCTGGATGTGCATGCCATAGCCGGTTTCATGCCCACTGGCTTGGCTGTAAAGGACATTGGCTCCCCCAGATACCTCGAGTCCATCGATGACAATGCCCTTTCTTACGGGAGCTTCATGAACACTTTCCGTCAACCATCTGGACAAGTTGAGGATGACGAGCATACTGCCTTCCTGCTCTACTGGCTATCCAAGTACGTCTTTCTCCACCCTGCACTTAGAGTATCTAAGGATCTCCTCGGTATTGCATCTTGCTTGGCAGAAGGTACATCGATCGCATTAGGCTCGCTCGTACTTGCTGCATTGTACAGAGGCATCACGCACGCCTCTTTGGCTATGCGCGGAAAAGAATCCGGTACCTTCTTCGGATCCTTTTGGCTTCTACAGGCTTGGATTGTCCTCTACTTTCCTTTTCTGTTCTCGAATCGAAATCACGAATTGCCCAAATATAATAACTTGAGCCTGCAGCCCCACGTCCCTGAGTTCATAGGAAGTCAATTACTTAGTCGACTTCCGTTACCGATTCCAGAGGGCAATCCCCCTTTGACGTATTTTCTTCGAGTTCTCTTTGACTTTGATCGAGACAAGTTCGACTTTTGTCCCTTTAAGTCTGAAAGCTTCTCTTATCTCTATCGTTTTCCTTCTCGGGAAGAATTTGGTGATTTCTGGGTTAAGGTGCTTACTCCTGTTGACCTTCCGTTGAGATTGTCCAAAAAGGGAAGGTTCTACCATGGTTTCGAGATATATTCCCCACAGTATTGTGCTAGACAATTTGGATTGGCCCAAGGTATACCCATGCCGATCTATTATTCCGTGGAGTTTCCTTTCACAGAGAAGACCAAGTATAAATCTACCGAAAATGGGCCTTTCAGCTGCTGCTCTGAAATTACTGAAAGTATGTATGCCCGATTTTCTGTGGATGAATTCAGTCCTGATCCACAATCCACTCCTGACTATGATCAATGGTGGGGACTTTATTACCGTCGGTATTTTATAAACGCCAGGTCTGCTCTCAAAAGGATAAAACCGTTTACTTCTCCAATAAAAGGGAAATCGGTTGGACAAGGAGAGGAAGATGAACTCCATAGTCACCAATCTGTTGAACCTAAACTGTTGACGATTGAGGAAAACGAAGGATCATTGGACGGCCTGCCAATGTCCTCTGCTCAAGTTCAATCTCCTCGACCACGTTCTCGGAAGAAGAAAAGTAGGGCCAGGAGAGGAAAAGGTAATCGCTCTGCTCTGTGCTTCCACCGATCTATATTCCTTTTTTCACTTACCTTGCCTTCATATTACAGCGGTTTCCCAACCAATCACTCCTTTGCGAACCCGAAAGAAACGGTCGACTGGGATCCAAATTACTGAGGGAGAAAAAGAGATGGAAGAAGTTCCTCTTTCTAGGAAAAAAAGAAGGGTGGTATTTACCTCAGCTAGCACCGGTGATGATGTTGAAGAGATTGAAAATACTGCCACTGGTGCCGGCTCAAATCCCTCTTTCAGTATTGACGATATTACCAGGGCTACCAACACCTCTCCGGGTCCTGAGGGAACAATTGTTCTTACTGACAAGTCACCTGAAGCCAGAGCCGCACCTCTCGTTCCCAGGACAGAATGCAGTCTTCGCTCTTCTTCCCTCGAGAGTGCATCACTAGTCTCCGCTCCATCTTCTTTGGCTGGACATGGTGAGTACCATGTATCTCAATACAGTCTTGTTAGTTGATACACATATCAACTACCATTTAACATCATCAGTATTGGTTTGCATAGGTTCGACAGATCCCCAACCGACAATCACATCTACCACAGTTGAGATGAACAATCAAAACCAGCTGGAAGGGGTTACCAATGCTCTTGGTCATGCTTTGTCGATCCGCTCTCCCTCTGTTCCTCTGCTGCTTCCAGCACCTCCATCTGGTCAAACTGGTGAAAATTTTGTCGGTTCTAGTGTCAGGGGTAGGCTCATTCTTGAAGAACTTTCTAAGGCTCGTCATCTTGAAGCTGCCAGTTGTGGCACCTTGGCATCTGACTCTTCAGCTGCACATATCCAAGCAATTAAGCGCAAATGGGCTGAATTTTTTGAGCTGTCCGTAGGAGGCTATTCATTGCTTGCAGCTAATCCTATCACTGCTGATAGGGTTAAAATTTTGCTAGAAGAGCTATACGATGATGACATCCAATTCTCGAAGTCTCCGCAGTTCAAGGAACGTTGCAAAATCTTCTTGGAGCAATTCCTTGGTGGTATGAAGGCTTACCAGTACGACAAGGAAAAGATCACATCTCTAACAGCCTTAGAAGAGAAATGCCTACAGTCTCTTGCTTCCATTAAGGAACTTGATCAGTCATTGCAGGGCAATGAAAATACCTTACAAACTCTGATCGATGAACAAGTTAATCTTGCTACTGAGGAAGCTGAGCTAGAGAAACGTCTGGCAGATGTTCGTCATCGTCGTGGGCTTGTGGCTGGTGAAATATCCCAAGTAAACAGGACCTTGGAACGTGACCTTGATGCATTCAAGACGCTACCTCATAGGAAGTCTCAACTGGCCAAGGAATTAGCTGATCATCGACATGCCAAGAATCAGCTGGTGGTCCGCAATGGTTGCTTAGATATCGACATGTCAAGCTTCCACAAGGAAGCGATGGACTTTGTGAATAATTTGTAATTATAATAGTTGACATTCTAATGGAAAGTCCGCCTTTGCTCACTTCCGTTCTTCAATGTTTGCCTTGGTGCTAATAGATTACTAAACTATGAGAAGCGCTTATCGGCACACGAACTTCTTTGTTGATTATCCACCTGAGCATGACTAACTTTTCTTGACCATGTGACGTGATCAACATGGTATTTTGAGCTCTCCGAATATCTGTCAACTATTATTGTCTTTTAAGGATGCTTTGATGCTATGAAGACAATGGTCGTCTTTCATTATCTTTCTTGGAAAATGATATTGAGACTGACCAGGTAATTCTGGGTCCATATCTCAAATCACTCCCTGCCCCTTATGAGTTCATCGAGTGCTTCCCTCGGCATTACACAGAGGTTATTCTGATTAACCGTGACTTCATCTGTGATCTCTCCATGTTTGTTTGCCATTGTAACTGTTCTCCAGGATCTCCCTTAATGGGTCTACACGTGCCTGAGCCTTGATACAGTCCTTACTTTGAATCGGTCATCTTGTTCCTTAGTCAGCATGCTCATCGACCAACTCTGGTCTAATAATCAGCGATCATGTGCCATTGTTTTTTGATATGCGCCAACATTTACACCAAAGTCATCAGCAGCATATAATTTCGACCAATCTACTGTCTGTATCGGTGCGTTAGCTAATTTTCTATTGCCATTAGATTTTTGGGATTAGATTTTGCGAAGATTTTTTCATGTTTTTCCCCCAATATCAATAATAGCACTGGTCCCTGTACTAATTTTTAGCAAACGACAGACGACAAATGACTTGGTCCTCTAAGTATATCGAAAATCCTCCCACTTTCGATCTTTTCCTTGGACGTGATTCTTGTAGTTCTCGTGTCACTAATGTTCACATCTATTTGCCAATGATTGCAGGCACGTTTTTGCAACTTTGTCGTTTGTTGCCAAGGCCTTCATCTTCCTTCATGTTGGAAAGGATGCGTTAGATATGGAGAAGTGAGGAGTCATCAGCAATAGGTAATGACAAGTCTCTGTTACATTCTACATTTGCCAGGCGAGGTTGAATACTGGGAATTGAGTTTTGATTTTCCTAATGTTTCGTCATTCTTCTTCGTTCATTTTCAGTCCTGGAAAATTGATTAAGGTCAGCTCGACATTGTTGGGCTCTACTATTCTTATCCAACTTGGCTAGGAAATCTAAGTACGAAAAGTTCCATTTAAAGCAGCAGGTTAGAGATTAGAAGTTTCTTGTGGATTTTCCTGCGTATAAGGTAGTCAGCATGATGAAGTTTCCTAATTTAACTCTGATATGTTCAGGTCACAATTTGGTGGGCAGGGCTTTTGCATGGCGCTGTCTCCATGGCACTCGCTTATTACCAGGTAGGATGATTGGCTAATGCGCTTTCCAGGAGACTTTCGATATGCAGTACCATGAGATTCTTTCTATTCCTAGCAATGCTATGAATGTGGTCGCCAGAGCTGCCTATTATAACAGGTTTTACTATGTTTCCTCGTATTAATCTGAAGCATATGCTTGCTCTGAAGTTCATTTTCTGTGCATGCAGTTTACTAGGTCCGAAGCGAAATTGGGGGGCAATGTGTTTGTGATTGCAAGTACCATCACGGTCGTTCTGTTTAGCCCTGTGGTAAGATGGCGTCTCATATGCTGAGTCTAATTGGTGGCATAACATGGAGCTTGTGCCTCAAGATATCATTCAACGATACAGGTGTTTGCTGTTGCCGAAAGCCTCTAGTGAGAATCTTGCTCCTTCGACCAAATACTTTGCCAGCATGACATCTTCTGAGCCATCAGGTCCCAAATCCTCGCTCAGCCACTGCTCAGCAACAAACGCGACTTGGAGACTCACCAGAATGGCAAAAGCATACTCCGTCCGAGCACTTTTGCACAAGCTCCTGAGCACACTGTCTCACACGGTGCACCATTACTGGCGAAAATTCGACGATGCCTTCATGAGGCCCGTGTTCCACGGGCAAGGTTTCGTGCCTTTCATTCCATGCTCGCCCACCGATCAAGACGATCATCAGTGGCTCTAACGAAAGCCGAGGATGACATCAAGAGCTAATGATGTTGTTTGGTGGTTTGTAAATAGGACATATTTATACACAGGTTTTTTTTAGGGTGCAGTTTCCACTATTTGGACGAGATTGATGGTGTACGTATACGGAAAGCAGCAGCATCTTATTCGACGCCGCTACTTTGCGATTTTGTGACAGAGAGATCTGATTTCTTCCCCTTAATTTTCATTTTTTGTTGTTTCTTTCTTTGTTCTTGGGCTTGTATTAAGTGAGTGAATGGCTTTTGTAAGCTCCTCCTTACTGGCTGATATCTGAATGTCTGAAATTCATTGCTTCGTCAGCTGCTTCTGATTTCCTTTCCAACGGTTGAGCTGTTGAATCTGTCGGTGTTCATGTGCATTAACATCCGCCGGTCTGATGTTGCTTTTAGGCATCGATTTAAATGTGCACCGAGCCATTAAACCAAGTCTATATTGCGGGGGCATATTGCAATTCTAGATTGTAGTTAGCGAGTGAAGGAGGGCAAGTTTTGTCAAGAATTTTCAATGGCAAAAGCACAGTTGATCCCAGTTTATATCAAAAGGGGAAAAGAAACAGGGTCACTAGTCTTCTTTTTGCCACAAAGCAGGGACATCAGTTGATTTGAAAAATATTTAACAGAGAATAATAATTTGAGAGCTTTAGCATTTTGCAATATGTAATGACAATTGGCAAGCTATTAAGATGTCATATGTAAATTTTGACCATCACAAAAGAGATAAGACACAAGACAACATAAGAAAAAAGACAGAAAATTTAACTCATTAACAATGGCGACAACAACATTATTAATTTTGCCCCCAAAAATTAACAAAAAAAACTTCCTAAATTGATAGAATATAGTATTTTCCAATTGTCCTTAAATCGTGTTTGCACTTAAGAAATCGTGTCAGTAAAAGAAGTTGCATTCACTTTGCAAGTTGAAAAAATAAGTATTACTAGTAAGATCTCGATCAACTCTGCTCAGGATGTAAAAATAGCTATACGTCACCGTTGGAGGAGTAACACGTGTACTTAAAGCTACTTAGTGATTATGTAAATAAATTTCTCCACGTGTCAGCTATCTAAGAGTGATCATGCAAATACAATCTATTACAAATATAACTTCGACTTCTGAAATCAATATCAATATGTCGAAAGGAATAGTAGAAAAGTATTAAAAAAAATCAGCAGCGATACTAAGTCCATGTTAAAAGAGAGAAAAAAAAATAGGACATTAGTTTATTTGAAAAATATTTGGTAGAGAATCACAAAATAATAACATTTGTGATCTTTCTTTTCAAAAGAAAACTGTGGGAAGAAAATAAATAGCATATAGACAACCTATTGAAAAATAAACTGATGCTATTAATATTTTAACTTTTCAAAAATACATTTAAGGGACATAACAAAACTCATCCCAGTACTATTTGCTTGAATTCATTTTTGGTACATGTACTATCTTTCGTCGATGTTTAGTCTACCAACTTTATCTTCAGTGACAATTTTAGGACAAAATTCAATTGTGCATTATAGTATGTACAGAATATGCTGAGTCGGTACTGACATATCGACATGTGGCGCCTAAGTGTACAAGTTTCTTAAAGATTTATACCTTTAATCCTCGTACTTTTAGAAATGTTCAAATTTAGTCCTTGTGCATTGTTTTATTAACATAACAAGTCCTTACATTATTTTACCGTGAAAATCTAGTTTCTTTCATCACATCTCCATTTGAAATCGTATGAAAATGTCAAATGAAGACCAACGACAAATTGGCGATTCCTACGCTTACAGGTGTGCCCGAATCTGATTGATAGTCCCATTAGATTATTTTCATTATATGTAATAATGGTATCGTCGTTTCCGGTAGAGATTCATACATAATTATCTAGGACTACTTTTAGTAAAAAGTAGATAAATTTTACTTATTCAAACTACAGCGTTAACTCGCAAATTTTGTGGACAAAATATTATGGACGATTCATTCAAAACTTCAGATTGAATCAAGCACACACATGGATGCAATCACAGGGTCATGGAATCTTGTGAAAGGAACAAACGGTTGTAAATGGTAGGACATTTGCTAAGGAATCATTTGGCCAGTTTTATTTATTTATGCAAAAGAAAAAAGATGCTGGAGTATTGAGCATCATCATCTCTTTTGTGATCAAAGTAAAAAAGTTTGATTGGACTCGTAGATGTCTCCGTTGCCCTACTAGTATGCTTGCCCTCGTCGAACAATTCATAAAGAAGGCTCTTTACTTTATGCCAGGACAACATCAAGATCAAACAAAGGTCTATCAATCATTTTCTTGATAACATTGAAACATCGTCGAAATTGTACCACAATCGGTCTGATGTGAATCTCTCTCGAGCAGCCACCAGGTACAGAATTCGCAAAGGTCAGACGGTACTGCACTGATCGGCACTCTTCTAATCAACTGACCATTGATGTGCTCAATGCTACCAAACTTACATATTGGTTAGTTTTAAACAGGAAAATATATAAGAGGGGGCTTTAAACATGAAAAGATCAAACTCTGCATGATGGGCATTTTTATACAAAAACAGGGCTGCTGTTTTGGTTAGTTTTACACCTCTAAACAGAGAGTTTCGTGCAATGATGCAGATCCTTGGTTTATTTCATTTCAAAATCGTGTGAAACTTCACATCTTTGCTCGGAAAAGTACAAATAAGACTAGCAATATGTCATAAAAGTTAGAACATCAGATAAGAACCCTGGATTACCTTTAGCATGTCGTTGATCCCGTAATTGTTGCCCTTGGGGTTGCAGCACAATGCATTCAATGCTTATTCAGAATATCACCTCCTCCCCAAATTACAATTTACAACCAAATGTGGAAGTTTTGTCTGGAACTTGGTATGACACTGAAATCCTCATCATATTCAAATGCAAAGATTAAATCACATGGAGAATGATTAGAATAGCCTGCATGAAGATTGGAACAAATTCAGCCTTGTACCCCTTCTGAATATGTT